ACGTGCTACGTATGCCTGGTCACCGCTTACCTAGGAGCGCTTTGTTCAGTCTGCCAGGTGTAGGATGGCGCAAGGCTCGAGGTGGACAGAAGTTGACTTGGCAGCGTGAAATGAAGTCACTGACGACCAACTGGGTGCCGTTGGTCCGTCTCGTCTTCCGGGTTGGAGTCCACGTGACTCACCTTGTGCTTGGCTCGAGACTTACAGGACATGGCTCACAACCGGCACCAGTGGCGTGTCTGCTACCGTCTCCTAATCGGATTGTCTGTTTAAAGTGTGTTTGGTGCTGAGTTATCTTGCGGGGTAATGGCTGATTGTGATGCGTGGCAGTGAAAGCCGCAAGGAAGCTGTCTCGCCGATGCCCGCCTTATCTTTGCACGATAGCCAGCTGTTTCTGACGGAATGTTGTCTACACAAGGTGTAGGCGCCTTGACCCTGAATGTTTGCTTAGGGCACTAAGGTTTTCAGGTAAGACCCCATTCTCTCCCTCTTCTTATTCTTCATTTCATAGTTCCTCATGGTTGTATGGCAGCGAAGCATCCGTCCAAATGGCTGATGTACTGCTGTGATGATGATGATGATGATGATGATGATGATGATGATGATGATGATGATGATGATGATGATGATGATGATGATGATGATGATGATGATGATGATGATGATGATGATGATGATGATGATGATGATGATGATGATGATGATGATGATGATGATGATGATGATGATGATGATGATGATGATGATGATGATGATGATGATGATGATGATGATGATGATGATGATGATGATGATGATGATGATGATGATGATGATGATGATGATGATGATGATGATGATGATGATGATGATGATGATGATGATGATGATGATGATGATGATGATGATGATGATGATGATGATGATGATGATGATGATGATGATGATGATGATGATGATGATGATGATGATGATGATGATGATGATGATGATGATGATGATGATGATGATGATGATGATGATGATGATGATGATGATGATGATGATGATGATGATGATGATGATGATGATGATGATGATGATGTGATGATGATGATGATGATGATGATGATGATGATGATGATGATGATGATGATGATGATGATGATGATGATGATGATGATGATGATGATGATGATGATGATGATGATGATGATGATGATGATGATGATGATGATGATGATGATGATGATGATGATGATGATGATGATGATGATGATGATGATGATGATGATGATGATGATGATGATGATGATGATGATGATGATGATGATGATGATGATGATGATGATGATGATGATGATGATGATGATGATGATGATGATGATGATGATGATGATGATGATGATGATGATGATGATGATGATGATGATGATGATGATGATGATGATGATGATGATGATGATGATGATGATGATGATGATGATGATGATGATGATGATGATGATGATGATGATGATGATGATGATGATGATGATGATGATGATGATGATGATGATGATGATGATGATGATGATGATGATGATGATGATGATGATGATGATGATGATGATGATGATGATGATGATGATGATGATGATGATGATGATGATGATGATGATGATGATGATGATGATGATGATGATGATGATGATGATGATGATGATGATGATGATGATGATGATGATGATGATGATGATGTGATGATGATGATGATGATGATGATGATGATGATGATGATGATGATGATGATGATGATGATGATGATGATGATGATGATGATGATGATGATGATGATGATGATGATGATGATGATGATGATGATGATGATGATGATGATGATGATGATGATGATGATGATGATGATGATGATGATGATGATGATGATGATGATGATGATGATGATGATGATGATGATGATGATGATGATGATGATGATGATGATGATGATGATGATGATGATGATGATGATGATGATGATGATGATGATGATGATGATGATGATGATGATGATGATGATGATGATGATGATGATGATGATGATGATGATGATGTGATGATGATGATGATGATGATGATGATGATGATGATGATGATGATGATGATGATGATGATGATGATGATGATGATGATGATGATGATGATGATGATGATGATGATGATGATGATGATGATGATGATGATGATGATGATGATGATGATGATGATGATGATGATGATGATGATGATGATGATGATGATGATGATGATGATGATGATGATGATGATGATGATGATGATGATGATGATGATGATGATGATGATGATGATGATGATGATGATGATGATGATGATGATGATGATGATGATGATGATGATGATGATGATGATGATGATGATGATGATGATGATGATGATGATGATGATGATGATGATGATGATGATGATGATGATGATGATGATGATGATGATGATGATGATGATGATGATGATGATGATGATGATGATGATGATGATGATGATGATGATGATGATGATGATGATGATGATGATGATGATGATGATGATGATGATGATGATGATGATGATGATGATGATGATGATGATGATGATGATGATGATGATGATGATGATGATGATGATGATGATGATGATGATGATGATGATGATGATGATGATGATGATGATGATGATGATGATGATGATGATGATGATGATGATGATGATGATGATGATGATGATGATGATGATGATGATGATGATGATGATGATGATGATGATGATGATGATGATGATGATGATGATGATGATGATGATGATGATGATGATGATGATGATGATGATGATGATGATGATGATGATGATGATGATGATGATGATGATGATGATGATGATGATGATGATGATGATGCTGATGCTGATGCTGATGCTGATGCTGATGCTGATGCTGATGCTGATGCTGATGCTGATGCTGATGCTGATGCTGATGCTGATGCTGATGCTGATGCTGATGCTGATGCTGATGCTGATGCTGATGCTGATGCTGATGCTGATGCTGATGCTGATGCTGATGATGATGCTGATGCTGATGCTGATGCTGATGCTGATGCTGATGCTGATGCTGATGCTGATGCTGATGCTGATGCTGATGCTGATGCTGATGCTGATGATGATGCTGATGATGATGATGATGATGATGATGATGATGATGATGATGATGATGATGATGAAAGTCGCGATCAAGCTGTTACGGTGATGTTATTTTACGCGCACACCGTCGCCATATATTTCCGACAGTAACTGCGTGTAGGCACCTTAACTCTGGATGCTTTGTGAGTTGTGGTTCACCATTAAGCTTTTTTCAACTCATCATCATATCTGTAGGGGGCATCTCTTTTACTTCTACTTCTTGAAGCGGCGATGCACTAACGCAAGGTACCGTTGTGCTGCCTTTGGCAACGACGATGATGATAACAATTGCATTACACAAAACATTACTGCTTTTGAAGTTCACTATCCTACGTCGTTTGCTTACAAACTACCCTTCTCTTGTGTCGTGTACTCAGCTTCGTGTCAGCTGATTTTTCATATCCAATCAGTTTATTTATGCCGCTCAACTGATGTGTTGTGAGGCCGCCCCGTAGCCGAAATCTTACAGCGCGAGTTCGAGCCTGAGTAGGTGGAGGGCGACCCTCACATTATTCTTAGCCTACGTGCTGTATGTATGTGTCAGCTTATACGCCGTAAAGGCGCTTCGCTGCCGCGCGACCACCATCAGTCGCGCGCGGGCTGAGTATACCGCGAGGACGCCCACCCCTACGCGGATTCGAACCGGTGACCTTATGGTTGGAAAGCAAACGTGCCGACCACTCGGCCACCGGCCGACTACGTGCTACCGGTGATGGTTGCGCGGCAGCGAAGCCTCGGTACTGCATACCTGTGTACTGCTGATGCTGATCTGTTGCGAGAGCTGACAGTGTAAATTCATTGGTGATGAACTATCATACCGTGACGAACTAGATTGCTCATTTTGTGATAGACGCGTCATCTCTACCTGTTTACACGTCATGTCACCTTTACGAGACTAAAACGATTTTGACTCAGTTGCTTCCCGTCCTTGCTTTAATTGTTGATTCTTGTTATCATATTCTGGCGCTTGTTCTCGACACTCATTTCCAACCAAATGGTTCGTTACTTTTCACTTGCCTCTTACTCGATAGGTTTGGGCGGTTTTCTGGTTTGACTGAACTACAATTGATATACCAGGTTTATGCATAACATGTCTGTTGAGTGCATTGTTCAGGTTTTCATCCTACTTAAGTAAATAAATAAATAAATAAATTTGTATATTTACCGACAGGCGGTACACGGCCCCATAGGTGGGAGCGATCATTTGTATAGTGAATACGTTTCATAACATCAAAGAAAGTTTATTGATAGCATTTCGGATCATGATTACTTTTCCTTCAGTCCTAGACCCGCGCAACTCATATGTAAAATTTACGGATGTTTGTATCGTCAGGAGTAGCTAATAAAGGAAGGGACTATTAGGCTGCGAAGATACAGGATTTGGTATGGTATGTAATGACATGTAGTGGGTAAGCTAGCTGTAAGGGATTATCTTCTCATATGTTTTTTATACCAACTTCTGTCAATGTTTCTAGTGTTTGATGTGAGTCAAATATCTTCAGAGCATTTGGTATAGTGAGGAAGGTCTGAAGGAGATTTCGAAACGTGACATGGCTTGTACACATGCGTATCTGTAGGGGTAGTTTGTTCCACAGATAAGTGTATCTCACTAAGAAGAAATTCGACCGAATTTTATGACTTAAAAGGTTTGTACGGATCAAGTAGCCGCCATTACGTGTGGGGTAGACTGCAGTCTTCCGTAATTTCTCGATTACTTCCGCTTACCTGGTCAGTTGCTCCACCCCAACGCATCTGTCAGAGACTTAGGTGTGCTCTCGCGACATGATATGTGTTAACTAGAAAATACAAAGAAATTGTACCGTGCGTGACTTCGTATGCTCTGGGCATTACGACGCAGTTTTTCCACATGGTTTGAAGAAACCGTCCCTCGCCTATTCACCTCGCTCGTACCCCAGCTTACTATCCGATAACTCAGTAGGAAACGGAAAAGCTGGAGCAAGTACAGCCCGCCACCAATAGGATGATACCCAGTCTACGAAAGCTTCCGTATGATAAATCTTGGGAAACGCTCGGACTCTACCTCCAACTACGTATTGACCTTATGAACCATCAAATACTACACCTGAGTCACTTCCCCATACTACGGCCAATGTTTCACCTGCGAGAACCCTGTAACGCTCGAGGGCACGGCTACAAACTCAGGAACCAATGCATGAACAGGGTATCACATTATTTTTGTATAGAACGAAGAATCGTAAACTTATACACTACCAGAACGACTAATAGAAACCGATTATGTGGTGTTTCAAAGCACGTATCAACGCGTATTTTGTAAACCTGTGCTTTTGTGAAATCGTGCACATACTGTGCAAAAATATACATCCTATACCCTGAAAAAATGACACCAATACAGACTTCTAACGGAACAAGCATGAACGATTAACTGACCAACCACTGCCATTGACCATCCACAACTAAAGCTTTTTGATTTTTCATGATTCGAAAGAGTTGTACATGAATTTTTCCACTTGATCCTGAATACATTCTCAGTCGTAACATCTGATTTTTCGAATTGTTTCCAGAGTGAATGATAGATAGATCATGCTTCTCACTTAATCTGAGCGGAATCACACTCTGCCGAACTGTGTACGCCCATAGCTAGTCATTTTATTCTTTTTCCCGTTAGCTGATTGCCAGGACCATCTTTGTTTTGGTGCATTGGAGATAATCGATACATTTAACCGCGTTATTACCATCGTATCATCGTATCATATCGTATTGTCCTAATATTGTCCCACCTTCATTTTTAATTAAGAGCAAATCGCTTCGACTTGGACAAAGGTCATCTTGTATTTGAATCGCGCTTCGAATCGGGCAATTTGCGAAAGGCGATACAGGTTAGTTAATTGGTTTGTCTAACAATTGTGCCTGAACACTCACTTATCTGCCCGTTCTATGGTTACTATCTCATCAGTCTGCCTAGTCGGCTTGTGTGGAACTGGTCGACTCACCTGCTTCTGTACTTCGACACACTGGGAGTTGGTAAGATTTGCTTCTGATCGACTATCGTCCTGTCTACCTGCGTCGCTCAGAACTGTCTCTTCTGTAACCTTCGATATTCACGGTGTGTGCATTTGTGGGTCATTCCGAAACAACCACTGTTTTTGAAACAGGGACTGTGAAAGATGGACCACTGATGCACCCTCAGGTCTGACAACCCATGCATCGAATCCATCCTTTAGAAGAGCGACAATCCCAACTCTTTGTATCTCAGTCGTTTGCTGCATCACCTGGACCCCGGCTGGGACTCTGTGATCACAATTAAAGCGACAAGTTAGCACTGTGGAGACTAGGGCTCCCGGACCCAGAGATTGCTTGCAGTGGTTGCTGCAACGTAAATGCTATTCATTTGTGGGTGGTGCAACTGCTTTACTGCACGTTACATTATACACAAGGAAGTTATTTCTAACTGATGGCTATCGGTCGTCAGCATATCTTGAATACACACCTGTTGGAGTCTAGCGATACTGTCCATAAAGCGGTTTCATTGTCCGGTGAATTTCCTTTCTGCTTGGTCACTTTTTCCCACGCTGATTTTTGTATTGAAGCTATACAAATGAGGATATCACTTGCGAACGATATTTTGGTTTGCGTGATTTCGCTTTCCATTGGACTATCTTGAGCTGCATTCTCTACGGTCGATCATAGCAGTTGCATATCCATCACCAGATACCAGGCGAGCTCCTCGTTAACGTTCTCAAAGTTGTTTGGAATTAGGTCACCTTGCCTATCCTCTTTACTCTGTCATGTTGGTCCACAGTGCGCAGTCTATAGGCTCATCTCGATTGGTTTATGGCACACGAGCACCACGGCTGTCTCTGTCCTTGCGAGATCGGTGTTTTAATTGTCCGTTTGTCGCATCCGATAACTTCGGCTCAAATCCACCAAACTGGAGGTAGGATTGCATGTGCTCTTACGTGTATCATGCTCTACTGGCTTAATATGCGATCTTTATGGCACATCTCTCGTCACTTCTCATTACACTCTGCAGAACGCTCCCGCGCTGGCCGTGATACCTATTTTGCTGCGGATCAGACGGTTGGAACATTTTATCAATTGGTCTTGAAATTGCCAGCTGGGAGATATCACTCACTTGCTTAACCCCGTCACCTATGTTCTTTTCCCATCTTTCACTACCGTCCTCCGCTGGTCTCCTTAGTGCATAATCAGAAGCAATGACCTCCAACCCCTGCAACACTTCTAGTAAGGTGACCATCTACAGGCAACGCTATCCTTTACTTCTCATTCTCTTATGTTTAACGTATGCTGAGATTTTGAGACATACATGCAGCACGGCAGCTGTTTGACTGTTTGGTTCAGTCTCTGGTGACGAAGATTGTGATTCATCGGTGGTTCCATGCATGCACGAGATCGGAACTGCACTGCGCGGAAAGGCTCAAATTGCTTTCAATGAACATGTGATTCGATTTAGGGCCGGCACAGGACTTGGTAAGCGTCAGTCCGATCTTCGATGCTGAAATTACTATACTTAGCTTCCTTTTATCACACTAAGTCACCTACTAAGCAGGATCGATTAGTGCGTTGAAGTCCTACACACACCACTAGCTATATTAGCTTTTGTTCACGTCAATTTAACATCTATTGCTCGGAACTTCTCACGTGTAGCATTTGATGTCATCTCATCTTAGGCTGGTTAAGGATTCCCCCGTCTTCCCCTAGATTAGTAAAATGCCATTTTCTTTCTTTAGCTGCTTCACTTCGTTCTGCAGGATAGATCCCCAGTTTAACGAAGCACGGCACTTATACTAGGAAAGTAGTCGAACACCTGATGAGTCCAAACCAGGACGAAACCGTTGGTGGTGAAGTGCAGGGATGGGAGAGAGCCACACCGAAACCCTACTCTTCGGTGACGGCCCGTGCTCGTATTGGCAGAGACTGACTTCAACGTCACCCGAGTCCGCAATCGAGATTGCGTGTCGCAATCCAGGACATACCGTAGGTGCTCTAAAAGCCGACAATCAATAGTCGGGAACAACTTCACCACCCCGACTTCAGTCATTTTCCGCCTCCTGTGTCTTTCTTCATGCTTTAGCCATCTTACTCCGCATCAGTGAAGTGTTTTATCGTTAGCTGCATTCTAAGCAAACCTTTGTTCGCTGGTTCCTTGCATCACTGTTTGTTAAATGGTAAATTTTCTAAGGAGATTCTTCACAGCCAATTTCCCTTTTCTGCTCACTAAAAAACAAGCAAATTGGTTGGTCTACTTTCTAAACCACCATTTGAACATCACTGAACATCACACTTTAACTGAAGCGGTCACAGTTTATCTAAATTTAGCACGCTATTACAACTTCTTTGTAACATCTTTGTTACATTTTTCTTCCTCCATAGGTCAGGCAGTATGAGTACGATCTCATTCTGAGTCCGGATGTCAATACATCGTCTAACCTGCAATGGTTTTACTTCCGTGTCTCAAACGTCGAAAGTGGCGTCGATTATCGGTTCAATTTGATCAATTGCGAAAAACCTGGTAGTCAGTTCACAGCTGGTAAGCATGCCTTCTACACCTGCGATTTTTGCGAGTTTCTGTTTGCGAATCATACCAAGAAACAGGATGAGAATATCCACCATGCCGTTCCATCACATTACATACACAGGTGTCGTATGGAAGCGCGTACGCCACTTTCCTGGTCCCCATTCTTCTTGTTCGGAGTGCTTGCAATTTATTCCCCCTATTTTACACTACGTTCGAATGTCGTTGAGGATGGACCTTACCGTCTGCATACACCAGAGATCCATTGTGGTATGCTGGGTAGTGCTTTTGCACCTTTAGAGCCACTCACACTAGATCGATCAATGGTTAGAGGCCAGACAAACTCAACCATCTTGGTCCTAAAGGCTGGGGTTATAGTGAGGGTGGCTCCTCTCCTTAAAACGTCCTCTCTGTGGCCCACTGCCAAACCCGCTGCCTTGCGGTCAGGATTTTGAATCAAAGTCTTTGGTTGGGAACTCTAATCGTTCTGCTGTCTAGGCCTGGGTAACTTAATAGTGTCCTGCCCACGCAATAGAATACATCATGACCTTTAGTTCTAACCATTTCTTGATGTTCTGGCCGTCGCAGAGGATAATAAATGGCGCCTCATGTGCTGCATCGAGCAGGGTGGATAGGGGTTTAGATGCTACTGCTCAAGACCTCCTGTCTTCTTATCCCCCTCCTACGCTTTTTCACACTTACCGTCCTGTCCCAACTTCACTTTTATCCCACCGTTTTGTGCTCTCCAAGTCTCGGCCCTCCACCACCTTGCTTTGATAGGCGTTTATTTTCTAGTTTTAACTCACATGCAAACGCAGAGCGTCGCTACTGACCTGTCGACAAGCCCAAGTCCAACCAAGCGGCCAAGCCCAGTTCATCGACTTCCATTTGGAACGCTCGATCCTCCTTCAGATTGGCATGCCTCAATGTACGCACATTGTTACAGATCGTTCAACAGGCTGGACTTGCCGGAACACTGAAGACCCCCTCGAGCAATATATGCTGCATCTCGGGAACCAGCGTGCAAGACTTGAGCTTTGTGCTCGCTTTTTGCTCCCGTTCAGGTGACACTAGCAGTGATTTCTCGTTGCACCTATCCGGAGACCATGCAACTTCGAGTACTGGCAGAGCTGGTGTCGGTATTGCCCTGAGTCCCAGTGCTGAAGCTGCTCTAGTTGACTGGAACCCAATCAGTAGCCGGATGTGTGCCGTCTGATTGGCTGGCTCATTCAAAGCTTCGAAGTCGCGCGGGACTAACAGGTGTCTATTCGTCATCGCTGCACACGCGTCCACAAACTGCAGCGATGGTTCGATAAAATACAACTACTACCGACAACTGAACGAACTCCTTCGCCACAGAAGGAGCACGGACACTGTAGTGCTGGCTGCGGATCTGAACACCCAAGTTGGGAGATTGTTCACTGGTGTACTGCATCTGGGCGGTCAACACGGTGTAGGCTCCTGTAATGATAACAGTGAGCGCTTACTACATTTGTACGAAGATGCCCGCTTTTTTCTTGCGAACACCAACTTCCCACACAGCACCTGTCGGAAGGTGACTTGGCCCCTCCCAGCCTCGAACTACCCATGGACGCAAATCGATCACATCGCGATCAGTTATCGCTAGGGAGGCTGCGTCAGAACTGTCGCTCGGTTTGGTGCACGTGTGTGGACACTGGCCATGCACTTGTGTGTGCTGATCTGTGAGCGCGTTTTGGCGGTCGCGCTAGACGTCGTTGTGAACGCATTCGCACCAGCACTCTGGCTAAGATAGCTGTTCTGAATGCGTATCGAAGTACACTGACTTGCAGGTTGAGTAAGCCCTCCGTTAATGCAGTCAATGGTCACTGATCGCATGTTCACCAGACCTTACTAGCAGCAGGCAAATTTTCATGCGGTAAGTCTAATAGCCGTCATGGACATTGGGTATTTCCTCAGTCTCTTGAGCTTATCCATGATGGCCAGAACATTCCAGGTGGAACCAAACGCAATGGGATTCGCAAAATCCACCGGACAAAATTCCGTGTTAGCTTGAAGGGAGACAGCGAATCATGTTGGTGTCATCGTGCGTGGAAGTGGCCGCTGCTCTTGATAACCATCGAAAGTCATTCCGTGTGATACGGGAAACGTGCAGCAGGAGACCTAGTGTTAGTGAAACCATACATGACAAGAGTGTATAGCGCACCCACAACTTGTTAAAACGCTTGGATCGTTGCGCTGCGCACTTTAAAGGGCAATGTATTCGGTCGGAATTGCTAGATTTCTTGCCGGCCACTGATCGTCCTGCTCCATGGGCTGCCTTTCTGGATTCGCCCTCTCAGAAGTCGGACTGCTAAAGTTAAATAAAGCCGCGGGATCAGATGATCTTCCTCCAGCACTCTTCGAATTCGGTGGACTTGCTCTTGTGGATGATTTACACGTGTTACTAGTGGGACTTTGGGTGCAGGAAGCTGTTCCAACCAACTGTAGCCGCTCCATCGTAATCCCAGTTTTCAAAGGGTGCTCACGATTGGAATGCGGTGGCCATAGAGGAAACAGTCTGATCTCAATTCTCTCCAAACTACTTGCCTCCTTCATCCTCCACAGCTTGATTTGCACTCGTGAAAGTCAGATTCGTGAAAAACAATCCAGGGTTCCTCGAGGTCGTGGCTGCACCTATTACATCTTCGCTCTGAGCCAGTTGTTGGAGCACTGTCACATATATGGGCGGCCCATCGTTATCGTGTTCTTCTACATCAAAGATGTCTTCGATTCGGTTTGTCGATGTGCCTTTTGGGACTGTCTACTCAGGAAAAGTGTGCCTGGAAATGTGCAATTATTGTTCGAGCGTTATCCGCGCTTAGCTCGGGTAGAGTAATGACTCACGGCAAGCTGTCGCCCCACTTCGATATCTCCTGTGGTGTGAGACAAGAATGCCCGCTGTCACCTTTCGTCTTCATCTTCGCCATTGACAAAGTCATGGCGTTCGCGTTCATAGGACACGACTTGGATGTTGTGGACCTGCTCCCGGGCAAACGACTTTTTCACTTGGAATATGCTGACGATATTGCCATAATCTGTGACAGCTCCCAAACGTGCCAAGCTGCACTGGACAGATTAGCACTGACTGCCAGCCGTTTCGGTCTATGCTTTGTACCCTCGAACTGCAATGTTTTCCTGCAAGATTGTCAGGGACCGCCTCTTGCGCTAACCCTTGGTGGGGATCAGCTGGAAGTCGTCCGTAAATTCAACTGCCTGAGATGTTGTATCAACACCCTTGGGGTCGAAGACGAGATCACGAACCGTATAGCAAAAGCTCGAGGCGCTTTTGCTAACTTTGCCTTCTGTGGCGCTGGCGCGACCTTACCCTCTCCCTGAAGGGTAGAGTGTACAATGCAGCCGTCCGTTCAACTCTCCTTTACAGCTATGGACACTAGCCCATTAGATCAGCTGACGTAATGAGGCTAGTTACCTTCGATCACTGGTGCCTTTCGCACCTTGGCTTACATTTGGTGGGAACACCGCGTGAGCAGCGAGCTTGTTCAACGCCTTGTCTATGGCACACGAAGTGGGAATATACCGCCTAGCACCGTTTTTTCACGCGTCAGGCTCCGATGGATGGGCCACATGTTGCGCATGCCAGCCCACCGACTCCGTTTGACATGCGTTGTTTGTGCGCCAGGGTTTGGATAAAAGTAGGGGAAGGGTAGCCGAGCGATGACTTCGTCGAGAGGAGTGAAATCCTTATTTCGAATCCGGCCTCGGTTGGAGCCTCTCGGCTCTCTGTTTGGGGTCTGAAAGACGATGAACTCGTTTGGCTCGATACATTTGCTGACATGGTGTTGTGTCCCCAGGGGTTCGACTTAGCAGCTTCTTAGATTGCGCCACCCGAGTCAAAACATAACGCATCGGACGAGAAGTATATTTGCGAAACACTGCACTGGCCGACGTAGGTATGAAAACACTCGGATTACAGTTCAAACCGCGGCTGAGTGCTAATTTGAATTTATCGATCTCAAAGAATCACGGGACGTGTGAGTAGTATGAAACAAGCGGTAGTAACAAATGTTCTGCAACGCAGAAATCTCTAGTCTGCTTGTAACTGAGATTTGGGGAAATTGCGCACTTGCCTTCCCGAACAAGTCAATTTGTTTCGCTTCTGTGCGTATTTGACTTTGGTCTGACCTAACACCTCCCCCTTGTTGAAATAGTTAGACCGGCAGTTTTATAGCTTTTCCTTCGGGGATCGACCTGAAAGGTTTGCATGCATCTTCTTACCTGTTGTGGCCTTAGTCAGTGTTCATTTCCCGTCCGTTCCAAGAGTTGCGTATCCTCTCCGGTCGAGGTGCTTGGGTGCGAACTTCATAACAATTTATTTAAATCAAATCGTTTGGCGTCGCGTGTCCCTGGGATCCTTGCAAACCGCGGTCGCAGTTGGTTGGCGTGACGAACCCATACGTGGCTACCAACGCGAACATCGTGCATTACTTTACCACGTCTTCCCACGACTTGACCTGGTATCCAGTTTCATCGATGCCCTCGATGAGAGGCAGCAAATACTACGTTTCCAACTCTGAAATTTCTGCACTGTGCTCTGTACCGTCTGTTGTACTGGGCTTCCATATCCGAATTCGTACGAGATGATACATACGGGACCGGGCGCCAGAGTCGAAATACTGGTGTAGCACAAGGTAACATCTTGTTCGCCTGAAACTGTTCAGCAATGATTTTACTTGGAATAGGTTGTATGGCTGTGTGATGCATCCTGAGGTTCGTTTCAGGACACATTATTAAGTGGTACATTGCGCAAATTCAATCTATCAATCAAATCAATGCCAAAAAGATTAATGTTGACACAAAAAGCCAAGTAGATGGTTCCGCGAAGGCTCAGGTTTTTGAATTTGATGTCAAATGTGAACTCACCATCTAACCTCAGTGGTCCGCGGGATGCATTTTGGGCAGTCAGATTGGTGCGCCTCAGTGGAGGTTTGCAGAGTCTCGTTCATGATGGTCGAGAAATGATGGTAATGTCCGATGCCGTATCTAGTTGCAAGGATATAGGGGCATCGTTTATTTTGACGGTGAGATACTTTCGTGTGCCCGCAAACTCTGTGCGACACTTCGCGAGAACTACTTTTGTCTTTGCTTTCTGAAACGACGTCTTTCGGGATTTAGAGTTCGTGTACAAGTGTGGGGTAGACACAGTACTGGAAACGTACGTTTTGCGACAGCGGGATTCTTTGTGACCCAGACATTTGCATTTCTGACAGAGATGTTTCTTTTCAGCGCAGAATCGCACAAAATGCCATCCACCACAGTTCCAGCATACGGTCGGAGGTTTCTGGTTGGGTACTCTATGGCTCACATTTTTGCCTCGAACAGCCGTGCGGTAAATCTGTGGTTCACTCCTGGGGTCAGCATTTTCAGTCATTTTGGTATCATGCTTTAAGTTAATCAGTCTCTGGCATTCAGCAGCAATATCCTGTAATATCAAGTGTGGTTCCTGCTCTAAGTTGTGTAGGATGCGTGTGCGCATACCAGCATCGGCATGAGACTGAAGACTGCAAACAAATATGAGACTTTTGAACTGATTAGGTGTTATCATACCGAGTTTAAAGCGTTCACACTCTCGGTTCACAACTCCAGCACGTGTTTAAAATCATGATTATCACAGTTGAGCAACTGTAAACAATTATAACGGATACTGAACAAACATGCTTGCTCACCGAAAATGGACGTCAGAATTTGCACAGTCTCATCGAAGCGGAAATCTCTAGGATTCTTTGGTAACACAAAATTGCTGTAGCGTTCATGCTCAACTGCACCAAGTTTACGCAGGAACAACCGAACTTTTCATGCATCCTCTTGCGCCGCCAACTCAACGCGGAAAATATCTTCATATTTCTTGAACCAGGAATCAAAAGTTACTCCGTTTGATTCATCGAAAACGAACTCTGTGATTGCTGTCGTGACCGCGTCTACTAAAAATCGTGTGACAGCAGGTTGGGGCTCTGATTGAACGTTCAACTTCTGCGCAAATAACTCGAAAAATCGCCGCTGAGATTTCTCGAACTAGAGCTGCTGCTGCATCTGCTCAAATGAAATGACATTATTGTGCAACACCTCCGTCGCCAGAATCTGTTGTGTCCCCAGGGGTTCGACTTAGCAGCTTCTTAGATTGCGCCACGCGAGTCAAAAGACAACGCACCGGACGAGAAGTATATTTGCGAAACACTGCACGGGCCGACGTGGGTATGAAAACACTCTGATTACAGTTCAAATCACGGCTGAGTGCTAATTTGAATTTATCGATCTCAAAGAATCACGGGACGTGTGAGTGGTATGAAACAAGCGATAGTAACAAATGTTCTGCAACACAGAAAAACTCTAGTCTGCTTGTAACTGAGACTGTTCTGATACAAGGCACACGGTTACTTGGGGAAATTGCGCACTTACCTTCCCGAACAAGTCAATTTGTTTCGTTTCTGTGCGCATTTGACTTTGGTCTGACCTAACACATGGCTAGGCGCCGACCTCAATGGCGTTCCTGTTGTGAGTTTCTTTGTCCCTCTCCATCTCTATTAGCCTCCCGTCCAACCGCGATGTCATTTTTTCGCATAATACGAGTTTTGCATAATAATTATCTTTTATTGCATAGTAGCTATCTGGTAGCTTTCCGAAACGATCCCATCCGTAGCTCAGCTGACGTGCACTTGTAGTTGCTTTTTCTTTACTTTATGCATTGAGACACATTGTTTTCCACCTCTAGCTAAGGTGTGTAATGATGACACTACGTGCGGATCTTGTTGAGGACATATGTCGTCACACCGGACACTCTGTACGTCACCGTCCATTTTTTCGCTACTGTGTGCTACCCTGTGATGGTCAGTGTCGCGTTGTTAACAGCATTAATGCTAACTTGGTCACTCCCTTCATAAAATATATTTTCCACCCGTCACCTCCACCTACGAACCACTGCTTAGCTCCCAATGGCTCGAGTGACCAAACACCTCGTTTGTCCGCCCCCTTATCCGCCTATGGTACCTACCGGTTACTCGAACGTTTTTCTCCTCTCGATTAGCTGAACACGCCCATATCATTTATTGTATGTGAATAGGGCACGGCGAACAAGTTGGTTTCGATTCACGATACCCTTATGTGGTTCGAAGGTTTGCATGCCTCAATGATTCATAGAGCTATGCTGGTTGGTGCTTTTTGCACTTTCAGAGCCACTCATACCAGATTGGTCAATGGTTGGATACCAGACAAACTCAGCCTCCTGACCCTCCAGGTTGGGGGTTGAAGTAAGGGTGGCTCCTTTCTCCGTTAAACGGTCTCTCTGTGGCCCACTGCCAAAACTCCGCTGCCTTGCGGTCAGGTTTTTGCACCGAAGGCTTTGGTTAAGAACTCTAATCGTTCTCCTGTCTAGTCATGGACAATCTGACAGTATCCTACCCTCTCAATACTGCGAATCTTTCCTTAAACGATTTGTTGATGCTCTGGCCGTCGCAGAGGATAATAAACGGCGCCTTATCTGTTGCATCGAGCAGGGTGGATAGGTGTTCGGATGCTAACGCCCAAGCCTTCCCGTCCTCTTATTCCTCTGCTGCGCTTTTTCATTCTTATCTTCTCACTCATGATCGTTGTCCAGCTAATCTACGCAATGGTGGGAGAAAAACTGTGATGAGCGCCGTGTTGGCACACTTGGTTGATTCTAAGTTATGAATGTGTTCGATGCCGCGTATTTGTTGCAGCAGAGCGAGTGAACTGCTCAGCGTTGTTATATCATGCAACAATCTCCGGTGACTGAGTCACATGTTGCGCACTTCAGCACACCGGCTCCTGTGTCGTGCGTTATTCACGCGACCGTGGTCTGAGTGGAAGAAGAGGTGAGGACAAGCAATGACTTAGTCAAGTGGAATGAAATCCCTCACTTCGAAGTTGACGTCGATTGGTGTCTCTTCACTGCCGGGCTGTGGCACCAAGGACGATCCACAGGTTTGGCTGGATACATTAGCTGACATGGTGAGGGGCCGACCTCAATGGCGTTTGTGTTGTGAGTTTCTTTGTCCACCCCCGTCCCTCTTCTTCCCCTCCAACGACGATCTCAGGTCACATGGATAATATGACGGCATTATATTACTTGCTTTTTACTTTTTGTATTCTATCATGTTTTTTATCTCTCTTTATATATCTATTTTGTATTGCGGCACAGTTAGCTGAATTGTGTTTCTCACCTTCAGGTCTTGTGTAATGATGATGATGACTGTTGAAATACGCACCCATGTACTGCTTTGGGCCTATTTCTTTATGCAATATTCACTTTGCTATTCGTCTCGTTTTTATCGGGTGTAAGTGCGTATTACGGTATTATTTCTACTTTAAGTATCTGTTGGAGATTTCCATCCCATTTCTTGTGCTCCATATTCCGTGAGCTTGCATCTTCAGGTTGAGTTCATACCGTTGTGGTACCTTTTATTTAAACTTAGCTTGTCCGAATCTTTTGGGCCAAACTCTGATGACGCCACATCTAACTGCCTTTTACACCTGGACGTTCCTCATTCCATGTTTTTTTTGGTTTTCAACGAACCTTCCTCTATTGCAATCTCCGTTTATCTATTACCATTTCATTTCTAACGCTGTATGCGATTTCCGGCATTTCATCTGCTCCCCTTTGCGGATGTAAATATAACCCACCACTTTATATATCGCTGTGTTACGGTGTGTGTGTTAAAGTCTAGTTTTTTCTCCTCGTTTCTTGTTATCACTTGCATACTTTCTTCTAATTTCTTAGGAATGCAGCCACTTTTGTTCTCAGTACGCGATGCTTTTGACGGTCGTGCTTACTGGAGACGCGTGGGAAGTCGTTTAAACTATTACCGCAACCACTTCATCCGTGCATCGGATGGCAAACGTGAGTCACACACTCCATATATTTGACCCGATCAGTGTCAAATTGCTTTTGCCGCTCTTGTTACATGCGCAATCAACAGGGAGCGTTCCCGTTTCCACCACTTTGAGCTGGCAGGTGGTCGAAAGGATAAGATACATGCCTTGTAACGCAGAAGTCATCCGCCCGAGTCTCCGTAGCTGCGGACCACTTCGTAGTACCCCTAAGCCCACACGCGATTAGTGCGAGACTGCAAAGCGTTATTGCTACGCACCGGCCTGCTACTGATGCGTCTATCACCTCGAAATGATCGTACCTATTTCCCTGCTATAATATCACATTGCTCATTGTTCACTCAAACTTCCCTCACTGCTTCTCCCACGAAGAAAATCCGAAACACGCGCATAGGTACTTAGTTCCGGTAGGTTTCTGTTCTCAGTGGGCCTGTTTATCTGTAAGTTAACGGATGCTAGTTGTCAGTTTAACAGCGGTAACCCGTCTGAACTAACATTCTGGATCTCACAGAAGATCCAGGGAGCCAAGCAGACAAGAACTGATCAATTCATAATAATCTGCACCAGTCATAACTGGCGTTCTACTCATCCCGTATGATTTGCTGTTTAAGTTTCCCTACGCTACAATGAACACCATAGTTCTTTTTTGGCGGGCTAAGTCAAAGTCAGCAGCGTCACCTGTTTCAATGCGCGACAATGGCGTCCTCGTTTATGTACATGCTCATTAGTATACATGAGGACTCGAAGGTCGCATACGCTCTCCATCTCGCGGATTCATTCTTGTCAAAAAGCTCGTTTTTGGGTACTTGTAAGTACGGGATTTTTGAATTTCCCGCTGTGTGGTTGGATTGCGACACACAATTTCTATTCAGACCTCAGTTCACTTTGAAGTATATCTCGGTCATTACGAGCTCTGAATAGAGATTGCATAACGCAATTCAACCACACAGCGAGGGCCCCAAATCCAGCTTTGAATTCCCTACCACTGTGCCAAGCGTTGCTCACGGATATTAGGGACATAGTGATCAAGGCGTCAGCTTTTAACCACTAGGCCCCGAGTTTCACCCTAGCTCAGGCTATCTCCATCTGATGAGTCCAAAGGAGGACGAAATCGGTTATGGGGTGTCAGGGTTGGGAGAAGAAACACCGAACCGCTTCCAATTTTTGAGGTGCTTTATTAGTAGACCTCCGTTGTAACCCCCAAGTCAAATAGCTTCTCCACGCGTACGGAAGAGCACCAAACGGTTTTTTTGTCCTGTTTGCACTCATCGCTAGTGCGCATCCCATGGACTGCATCAGGCACCGAACACATGACCTCTATGTACCGCTAGATTACGCTACTAGCCAGCGAGTAGCCAATGCTACGATCACGAGTGGCGGCGGCGGACCATGGTGGTTAACAAATGAACTGTGATATAACGTGACCCATCCTCAACTGCAATGTAAATTGCGAAGGATGTAGGGGACAGGGCTACTTCCTGGAGTCATAGCTTTCCATAACAACAGCTTTTAAAAGCTTCTAAAGCAGTCTTCGTTTATAGTCACGGTTCCCAATACCTCGAAACAGCCGTACAGTATAACAGATACACTAATCGGTCGTTTGCCAAACTTTTTAAACGATACTTCTTGATCTGACTTAGTATCCCGCTATTTTCGAGCCGCTGTCTATGGGGATGATAGATTATCAAGGTAACTGTCGGGTGCATAAGGCTACGATGAAGCCTGTTTTTACTGTATGACCACCGAAGACATTCATAGACTCACCGTCTTTGGTGACCGGTGTTTGCGGAATATCGTGCTATTCCTACATACAGCTCTTAATAATACATCCCAAATAATTTTTCTCATTTTTTTCAAACCCTCAGTTCTTTATGTTCTAATGCTGTTTCGATTCACTTTCTCACCACTGTTATATATTGTCATCCTGCGGACGTGAGTCATGGCAGTGGGATCCACCGCACTTCGATGATCGGATCATCGTTCTTTAATTGAATCGAAATGATCTGTCGACATACCTCATGTTTGAGTTCATCTTTCTACTTGAAAGGTATTACAGCGTAGACATATGGGACTCCATAGATACAGGAAGCCCTACTGATTCATCCTACTAGGCTTTCGACCGCGTTCCCTATATTTCCCTGTTTCGCTGACCGCTGGTGTCTTTCTTCACCGGTAGCAAAAACAACCGCGTTAGTCTCATCTCTGTTTAACCATATGCTATGCTGTCATCATGATTGTTCATTTGCGAACTGTATTTGTGTATACCACAACCATAGTGATCAGTTAGCTGTCAACATTCCTCAGGCATTCAGTTTTGTCTACCGCTCTGCTCCTAATGCACTAAAACACGTCCCATTCTAGCTGGTCAGTTATACGGAACCGTTGCCAGCGGTTACTGTTCCACTTACCTCTTCATGATATTTTACGTAATCCACTGTCAAGCAGGCAATGCTTTTCCTAGCTACGCTGGCAGGAAAGGCTGTTTGAATCACATTTAATACATCATGATCCTTACCGTTCACTGATAAATATTTGTACTCATCTCACCATTGATTACCTCCTTTCTGATTTCAGCACTTGGTGAGGTTATGTATTGGAACACTTTAGCTGCTACGCATTTCAGGGTAGATTATTGCACATGGTAATTAGTATTCGCTGGGAACCATTTTCCGTCATTTGTTACAAGCGTTAGGAGACAGAATTTTGGTGCCCCTCTATGGCTTTCGCAACGAAAGTGAACCCTAACGTGAGGTTGCAGTTTACTTGGCTCTGGATGGGGTTACTGGACACTGTGGGAGTTCCTCCTATGAAACTCAGTATTATTTTTCCCACTACTGATAACTGCGATATGTGTGGTCCACATTGCTTCGAGGATGGTTCGTCCGCTGCTCTGTACGACCAGGTGTTTGACTCGGTGACTCCAATTTGAGAGCTCAGTGGTTCTCTCATTTGACTTCGAGCATCCTCTCTGTACCTTTCTCCACTTGCACCTGCTGCTATTCTGTGGTTGTATGGCATTAAAACCTAATTATCACTATCATTGATATTTTCTCCTGATTTGTTCTCATCAGATCTTATGGGATTGTATTTTGCCTGCTATAATGGTCCTATGCTTGCAGTCCGTCGTTTCAAATTCAGACTGCATCCTCGGGTGCCATTGGCTTGATGCGGTACTCGTTGTGTTACACTATTACACTCACTTTCGATGATTTTAAGCATACGCAATTGGTGGCGATGAAATGTAGAATAGCACTGTTGCACCTCTACGCTGTCGGATTAGGTCATATCTTAGGGTGATCCATTTCTACTCATAATCGTTCATTTTGCTTGGTCACCGCACTTCTCATTAATTCTGTGGTCCACCTCCAGCTCGTCACTAGTCACAACTTTCACCCTAGCTATTGATCAGTTCCCTTTCCACTCCTTTCCGCTCAGGTGTGACCGAAGGCAACACGTACTTCACAGTCACCTTCGTGCTCCAATTCCCGCACACTGGCGATGTTTGCTACCTGGCCTATCATTACCCCTACACATACACTAGATTGTTGACCGATGTGGCTCGTTGGAAGGCTAAAGCAAATCAAACACGTGGCTCCACCGGAGATGGCGTCTATTTCCGTGTTCAAACTTTGACCCACACCATTTTGGGGAACGCTGTTCCCGTAATCACCATTACGGAGAAACCGGAGTGCAACCAGAACTGCACTCTACCTGACGGTACATCAGCCAGTAACACTGCTACATGCACAGACAAGGCCGATGCATCCAATCCGAGTGAGCATACATGTAGTTGTTGTTAGTTGAGTACCCGGCGTGATCAACACTGTTTCAACCTTAGCCCCGCCTACTGTCCTTGGGCGGACTGATTTACTATTGCTAACTTCTTCGACGACCTGTAAGCTGTGCGCTCTTGTTATCTGATTTGTCTTTTGGACGAAATTACTCTAAGCATGGGTGCTTCCAAGCTATTGATATTGAGCTCACCATTGACTGAAATAAAAGTGTCGAATCGCACACAACCTCCGCTTATTGTTCACTGTTAACGTCGCTGTTACCGAATATAAAATTGCGCTTTGTGTCAACAGTTACTACCTATCTCTTGCGATCATCAGTCGACATCGAATAATCCACTAGAATTCGTCACTCCGTAGCTATACTTATTTCATAGTGATACCACTTCGCTTCAGTTGGACTAAACAAACTAAGCGTCTTTCATTATTTTTCTAGAGTTTTGTATTTATGTTTATTGTCCATAGTCCCATCGACCATCGTAGTTTTAATCACAAATTTACGCATTTTGGCAGTGCTCGTTATATGCCATCTGGGCTACATTCTTCGTCCACTGAGTACGGAATGATGAGGTCGGATCATCGCCCCTAACATACAACAGTGGGTGTACATGAAATGGCACAGATTGGACCGGTGGCCGACCGCATAATGCATCTGCCTTCTGGTCCGATTGTCGCTAGTTCGAATTTACTTACCTACGGAAGACCTCACAGCACCCACACGCGATTATTGGTAATCGTCTGGTAGCGAAGCGTGGATACGGCTTACCGATGTACTGTTAATGCCTTTTCATTACTTTCATTACAAGTGCACACCTACATAACCAGTTACTACTTTATGTTTCCGAACCATGGTAGTATTCTTGCGATGAAAAAGTATGCTGCTGGGGCATGTCTGGATTACCGGTCTCCGCGTTATCTCCAACAGATCATTTACCACCTCGTTCATATAGAGTATTTCTGTTACGTTTCTCTTCTCTGTCTCTTTGGACGGAGGGCTGCATTCTAGACCCTACACTTCAGAACGAGATTGATGTCACCCTGGTGCAGCAAGTGGAGAAGATTAACAAAATACGTTTCGAACGTCTACTAACCAGTTCGGTGTCTAATTTTATATCTCACAGGCGCTGATATAGATGCCTAAGTGGTCGAATTTCTGTATGACTTCTATCTGATCCCTCTGGTGTGGGCAAGACATTAAAGTGACCATTCAGACATGCCGTTGATAATTAGCTCAGACTCCGTTTGGCTGACAAACATGTCATGTTGCCTACCTGAGACCTTGGAATAGCCATCGACTAATCACACAGCAACTAACCATACATACCTGTGATAATTGGCTCAGATCTCGGAGATGTGGTGTTTTGAGCCTGGGACCCTAGAACAGCTATTGACAGTTGCACGGAAACTACTCAAACACAAGCCGTGAGACAGGATGCTTTGCAAAATTCGTCATCTTTGTTACCTTATAGTATTTGATTTCCCGCAAATCTATTTTTAACCTAAGCGCAGACTGACTATTGCGTTTTGCTGCGCTGCACAACAATTTCGCGATGATCAAGGCAGGGATGGGTCTTTTTCTATCGCGGACGAAAACTTTACACTTTGAAGGCGCATAGCAAAGTCCGAGACTGCTGACAGACAGTACTAATCGGTCTGTACCACTTGGTAGGTTCTTGAGCTCTCACAGACTAGGGCAATATCATTAACGTACTCCTAGTCAATTTGTTCACCTAGAGTCAGCTCCACAGCTTTTAGTTCCTGGTTATTGAGCGCTGTTTCTGTAATCTCGTTCATAGCGAAGTTAGAAAGGGAGGGTGACAGCGGGTATCCTTGTGTCACATCACTGAAGATATTGAAGAGCGGCGACAGTTTACTACAAGTCGTTAATCTGCTCAAACTGCGCGGGTAAATCGCTGTTAAAATGTTAACGTTTTTCTTAGTCACAATCTCAATCAGAGAGTCACCAAGCGCATATCAATTCACCGAATTGAAGGCATTTTTGTTTTCCATGGACAAAACCACGATGGGTCACCAGTATAACTGGCGGTGCTCCAACACTTGATAGGAAGTGAAAATGTCGTCACTGTAGCCTGCACTTTGACAACGCCCTGATTACACTTCACGGGCGCCATTCAATCTGTGGAGGACAATAGAGGAAAGTAACTTTGAGCCAATGGATTGCTACATTTTGAACGTGAGCTCCCTTTGAAGATTGCGACTGTAACGAAGCAGCTCCAGTCTGTTGGAACATGTTCCTTCTCCCAAAGTTTCTCGTATAAATCGTGTGTCATCCGCAAAAGCAGTTCTCCGAATTTGAACTAAGCTGTTCCTGTAGCTTTATACAATTTCAGCCGTTTGATATCACATTCGACTTGTGTGTATTATGGTTGGTTCAAAGGAACGGCCCAGAGAGAAGGGCAATCAGTTGCTGATAAGGAAGTTCGTAACCAGGTGTTTAGATTTGTTTCAGTAATGCGAGAGAGCAACTTCGAAGCCCTCCACTTCGTACACGGTCTCAGTGATCGGAATGGCAGAGGCTGACTTTTAAGTCCAGCGGGGCCACAATTGAGATGACGTGTCTCAATACGAGGCGCACAGCGAGTACCAAAAAGCACAACCTTCTACTTTGCACGATGTCGGCCCAACGCTCTAAGCGTTTTGACAAGCTGTGGATTTGCTGTCCACTCTCGTCGCATATAATTTCGCCAACGCGGTCTCTTGCTGCTCGTTTCCGTTATCAAACAGCGTGACTTCCAATGGTTACCAAGAAGAGCGTGTGTTTTCGTTTCCGGCGCACGATTAGACTGCCATGCTTCCCGCTGTCTCTTTAGGCTAACACCCAGTTTTCCCCTCTGATCTTTGCGAGTCTCATTATGTTCGCATCCTGACGAAGCATGACGGCGAGCATCCAGCTTCCAAAGACTGTGTAGATACCCAATATCCAAGTTGGCAATCTGGTTGCCCACATGAAAAGTTACCTGCTGCTAATAACGAATGGCGAATATGCGACCAGTGATCTTCAACTGTGTTCGGTGAGCGATTACTCACTTAAGATGTCAGTGTACTTTGATACGCATTTGGAACACCTGGCTTCGTCAACTGGCAAATATCTATGCGCTCATAGCGTCGATGCGGGCATCGGCCGAAATATAACCGCAGGTTGACACATATGTGTGCGTCGTCGTTCGTGTTCCAATTTGAGTGAGAGCTTCGGACCCGGCCTCTCCAGCAGTAACTGATCGCGATGTGATCAATTTGCGTCCATGGCTGGTGTATTAACGCAACTACAGTAATTCGGATTACGTCGCACAAAGTGTTTATAAATATTGCTGCTTCGAACTATAAGCCTAGACTAGACGCACAATTTGGGTATAAAGCGCTTAGGACAGAAGAATTTGTAATAGGATCCTGTAACTAGTTCTAAAGGGCTGAATAATATACAAGGTAGGACTCATTGTTGGGTATGAAACTTGAGGTTGGCTGGCAGAAGCAGGTAATCGTAGCAGCAATGTTAATAGCATACTGGTGAAAGCGTGACCTTGAGAAAAGTGCATACAAATACAGTCAAACCCGCTTTATTGCCCACCCGGTTTATAGTCCACCTCGCTTTTTTGTCCCGTTTTTCAAAATACAAATTCTGTTCTCATAAATAGGCTAAATTTCACCTGATTGCCCATTACCAGGGGTTGTCACACCGCTTAATTGCCCAGCTGCGTGGGCTATGCTGTTCACGCTTTACAATTTTACCCCCTCCCTTTGACCTTTTTATTAAGATTGCACCACAGTTAGCTAGTCCGATCGAGTCAAGAACAACAAAGATGTCGGCGGCATTATTGACAGATCAGAAAAGGTTACCCATGTCATTCAATACACGAGCAAGCTAAGTGTACAGACGACTGTGGGCAAACCCTCGGCCCTATTCAAAACTCGAGAACTGAGAAAAGTCGGTTAAACTTTCCGCTCCACATTTGTCACTACTTTATTAGTTACACACAAGTATGCCAAATAACAGAAGGGATTTGTCCTTGACAGAAAAGTTGGACGTTTTGGATACAATTAGAACTTGTCCACCAGGAACCTCGCATGTCAAGATATCGCGTGATTTACACATTTCTCGTCCTACCCTAGCCAGGTTGATTGCCAATGAAAAGGAACTCTGGCAGAATTCGTCGCATGGCACTGCAAGCTCTCAGCAAAGGAAGTGATGTGGAAAGGATGAAGAAGAAACTGCAGTGAAAGATGGGATGATCTCGGTTCGTGAACATAACCAAACAGTTAGAGGCCCACTTCTGAAGGAAAAGGTAGAAGAATTTGGGGAAGGACTTGGAAAAGCCTGTGCTGCCACAGAAGGACGGTTGCGAAGATGGAAGAATAGAACTCAACTTGTGTATAAATGTGCGCTTGGCGAAAAGAGTTCCGCGGACAGAGCAGCCTGTGAGAATTGGCTGGAAGATCGACCGCCTGAACTTTTAAATGCTTTTTTTGATGACAACGTGTACAGGGAAGACGAATCAGGCCTTTTTTATCAAACAGCACCAGAATACTCTTTGCGTTTTGCTGCCGACAAGTCCAGCAGATCGAAAAGCCATGGATAGGATCAATTTCCTGTGCTGCGCGGATGTCAGGCACGGATAGAAAAAATATAGTATTGATTTAAAAAGTAAGAAACCACGATGTTTTAATGGCGTGAACATACTTACACTTTCCATAACTTACAGAGCTAACAAAATTGCATGGATGTCGAAAGAACTTTTCACCGAGTGGGTCCTCGAATGCGACAGGGGGCTATGCCAATGTGGCCGAAAAATTATGTTGCTCTTGGATAATTGCATAGCTCATTCACAGGCAGGGCTGAAAAACATTCAGATGGAATTTTTGCAGGCAAAGACGGCCAGCGTCCTTCGTCCCATGGATCAAAGTGTGCTTATGAATCTGCGAACCTGTTACAAACTGGAAAATGTGGACCGAATTCCTTATCACATC